ACTCAGTGCATATATGTTTATAATTCTTATATTTTCCTATGGGACTATTTCCTTAACCAACATGTAGTGATCTTCTTTGCCTCTTTTGATGAATTTTGACTTAAAACCCACTTTGTCTGAATATACTATAGCTACATTTGCTTTTCTTCAGGTTCCCAATGCATGGAATATTTTTTGCCATCCTTGACTTTTTTAGTCATGAGTTTCTTTGTGGATTATTGTGCTTCTTGTATGTGGCATACCATTAGATTTTGTTTCTTGATCTATCTTTTCAGTCTTTGTCTTTTGATTGGGGAATTGAGACCATTCAGATTGAGAGTTATTACTGCTAGGTATGTACTTATTCCTATTACTGCCTTATTTTCCTTCTGTTGATTCCCTCTCTCTCCCTTTTACTTAACTGCTCATCCTAGTTGTTGTATTTATTCTATTGGCCCTTTTGTCATTGTTAGCTTCACTGTCTCTTTCCAGGGTAGGCTCAAGAATTTTTTGGTTTGGTGGTAATAAATTTTTAGGTGCTCTTTTTCATGAATGCAACTTATTTCTCCATCAGTTGAAAGATATTTTTGTAGGGTGTATCAGCATGGGTTAGAGATTTGGTTTTTTCAGTGATTGAAATATTTCAATCCAATCTTTATTGGCCTTTAAGCTTTGAGTTGAAAAGTCTGCTGTAATTCTAATAGGTTTTCCTTTATAAGTGATTCATTACTTTCTCTAACTGCTTTGAAGATTCTTTTCTTGTTGGACTTCTGGGATTTTGACTATGGTGTGTCATGGAGAGGTTCTTTTCTGATTTTGACGATGTAGGGTTCTATATGCCTCACTTATTTGTATGTTAAGTACTTTTTTCTTACTGGGAAAATTTTCTGCTATTATTTTAGTAAACAATTTTTTTATGCCATTTGTGCTATTTTCTGATTTTTCATTAATTCCAGTCAATCTTAGATTTGTCTTCTTTGGGTCATCTTGGAGGTATTGGATCTATTTCTATATCCTCTTATTATTTTTAAGATGTCTGTCATTAACTGGCCACTGACAATAGCCCTGTCATTTGGTTCTGATGTTCTGTTCTCACATTGGTCACTTCTACTGCTCATACTTTCAATAGCATTTTTAATCTTGAATTTCTGCTGGGGCCTTTTTATAGATGGTAATTTTTTTTGATGCTGGCCATATGTGTTTTGTATAATTTTATTTACCTCTTTTTGCTTTTGATTGGTGTCTTTTGTAAACTCATTGATAGTTTTGTGTATCTGGGCTACTATCTTATTGCCAGTATCTTCTGTGAACTTGTCAAATGGCTGTTGATTTTTTTTTTTTATTTCCCATGATATAATTTTGAACAATTCAGCTGTGTGGTTTTGATTTGCTCTCCTTAAATCCTGCATGGATCAGCTTGGGGAAAGTTAGCAGTTTTGGGGGCATTTTGTTGGCTTGTCTTCTCATGTTTCTGTTTTCTGTTTGCTTGTTTATTGTGCTGTGGCTTATGGGTTGATTGTAGTGGAATTCTTTGTTTCTAGTATGAAGACCTCTTTAATTAATGTCTCCTTTTCAGTGGCATCTTGTGGGAGTGGCTAACTATTGGCTTTTACCTCTGTCCCATGATCTATGTCCATTGACTTGTGATAATTGCAGATTCTTCAGCCCAGAACCTAGTTTTCCAGGAGTGGGGTACAGTATTTTTATTGACTCCATGATAATTAAGTTATTGGCATTCTAGGAAAACCAGTTGTGTCACCTTGGCTGTAATAATGAAATCAACATCAATTATAGCACCAAATATAAACTGAATATGGACAAGCCTTAAGAACTTATACAGTCCCACCCTTAACCATAGGAAAGAGATCTATAATTATAGCATGAACACTAAGACAAACCAATATTGACCTACAATTGATCTACAGCAAATATCTGCTAAATGGAGCAATTTTAGCTCTACTAACAATAGAATGGTATTCAACAGCATTAGTATAAAGTTAGCTATCTATCCTGAGATTCATAAAGCTTAGTAGTTATAATACTAATGTAGAGTAGGCAGGAAATTAGAAAATAAAAAAAATCTGAAAATCAATCAATGGGATCTCAGAAGGAAAAGAATGAGAGGGACTCCTGAAAAGTAAGAGAAAATTAATAGAGACAGAGAATTGTCACGGGAAAGAAGAAATAGAATAAAAAAGATAGAGAGTAAAACAAGAAATAAAAGAAAAGAACACAAAGAAAAAGGTTGAAGGTGAAAAAGGAAAAGAGAGAAAAGAAACTAATAGAGGAAAAAAAGGGAGAAAAACACCCCTACATCTCCCTGAAACCTAATGGAGAAAAGATAAATGTAACACACACACAAAAAATCAGAAAAAGATGGAGTCAGAGAAAAAATTCCCATGTTATTGAATGAATGATTTCTTTCCACAATTTGCAGTCTTGGTATCCAGCCAGGTTTGATTTTTTTTTGGTTTTTCTCCAGAACCGCAGGTGTGATTTTCTATGTCTAGCTTTAGGGCCTATGGGCTTTTGAGGTACCCTCCCTGCACCAGAGCCCCCGTGTTTATTTGTGCCAGAGTGTGGTTACTATTCAGGTCAGCCTGTGTCCTTGCTACTGTTGGTACCTTTGGAATGATATCAGCCCCCTGGTTGGACTGTAGGCCACAGGGTAGGGGTTGAGTGGGTTGTCAGACTTAATGTCTGAAGTCACGGGGTCTGGTTGCTCCCTTATTTTCCCAGGCATTGTCCTCTTTCAGGATCAAGTTGTTGGTTAACCCTCTGCCTTGAGGAAGCACGATGTAGTTAGTGGGTGAGTGCACCTTTGCTGCAGAGGGCCATCGTGCAGCAGGCATCTGCTTGCTGGTGTTGTTTTTGTTATTATAGCTTTGTGGTATAACTTAAAATGGGGTATTATGATGCCTCCAACATTACTCTTTTTGCTCAGGACTCTTGACTATTTTGGGTGTTTTAAAATTCCATATGCGTTTTTTTTTTTTTTTTTTTTTTTACCTGCACAGAACTATCTGTTAATTCAGTAGTTTGAGGAATAGAAAAACAACAACAAAACTCTACCATATTCACAGTAACAATGAAATTGTGAAATCTGATGCTTATAAACATTCCTCATTTAACAATCTCCCTGTTCAAGGACTGTTCAGACTTATGACTCATCTTTTTTGTACAGTTCTGTACATCTTGTTTAGAGAGCCTCAAATGTCTTTTTTGTACAGCATGTCTTGTTTATATAGTACTATAATTTTTGCTGATTGTACTGTACAGCACTGTACTTTTGTGTTCTGTTATACATTATAGTACTGCCTGTAAGAATTACACAAATAAATGCACAGTGATCAGGTTGGAGTTTCCTTTGGCCATTTCTTGTTCTGAATATTGCTACATACACACTGTATACAGTTCCTCATTTAGTGACCAATTCAGTTAATGATCTGATATAATCACAAGAATAGAAATCGGTCGTAAATGAGGAGTGTGTATGGTATCAAGTTGGCATCTAATGTCTTTGAATATTTTTAAGTCATGTCTTCATTAGTAAAAACCATTTAAATTTTTAACCCTTTGTAGGAATTTCAGAAGAGAGAAGGGAGAGGTCAGGGGAGAACCCATGGCAGAAACGTCAGAGACCAGCCTTCCAAACAAAGAAAAGGAACATTTCTTCCTGCCCAGAGCCTCTTTTTCCAGTCACCACCCCAGAAGGAAAGTCGACCATGAGTTTGGAATACAAGCTTGGAGTACAGGGTGACTCAGATAAATACAGTCAGAAAAACTGTGAGAGGGAAGCGGAGTGAGGGCCGGGGCTGCTGTGCACACACACCCAGCCGGTGATGGCCACATCATACCCCCAGGGCTGGACGTGAGCTCACCTCATCACAAAAGGTAAAGAAATAGAAAATATAAATTCTCTCTTCATAGGCAGCTGGGATGGGGGAGACCAAGGGGAAGAAGACGCCCTCCTTTGAAGATGAGGGTCCAAGAAGAAGTTAAAAATAGAACAGGTCTCAGAGACCATAGCAGGTCAGAGTGGCACTTGTCTCATTTGCGGCAAAGTGCAGGTCTGGACACCAGAAGCTGGGCTGGAAACCTGTGCTTGAGCTTCCTCTTCCTCCCCACCCCACCCACCAACAGCACAGAAGCACAGTTTAACACATGCCTGGCCCACCTAGCAGGGGCTCAGTAGGAAATTGAAGCACTTTGGGATCTGCAAACTAAGCAAACATCTGGGCTGCCTCACGAGGCCAGAGTACAGGGAAAGGAGAGGCTGGGGACACCGTCCCCTTCAAATGGTTCCTGCAGCACTAGGGGGTTGAGGGGGGCTGAGTCCTTCTGCCCAGCCCAGGGCTCTTTGGCTTCTGGGAGAGGCAGCACAGGTGGGCAAGGTGCCCACCTTAGGTCTGCCCAGTGCAGGGTCTGATGCCCAGGCTGCTGTGGCTTTGTCTCTTCCCTTTGGTTGTGACAGTGAGAGGCAGGCACCTAAGAGACCCAGTCCTCCTAGAGTACAGCAGAGGGGAACTGAGGGGAGGCTGGGAAGTGTCCTGGGAGGTCCTGTCTTCTTTGGGGTGGGAAAGGGGAGTCAGTTTTCAGTGTATAAAAAAGTGAGTCCCTGAAGTCAGGAAGAGCGGAGCTCTTTTCAAAATTCCTGTTTTCCTCTTTTCTGGAAAACTTTGTGTTGGAGATGTTGCCCTAGGGGTCCAAAGTGCACTGAGGGGGTAGGGTTGGGGGCGGCATTGGCACTAGACGGCCCAGGCTCCTCTGATGAATGTTTTGTCACTGCTGCAGCAGGTGGTGGGAGCAGAGCCAGGATAAAGCACAAGACGGGGTGGAACACGGGTGCAACTGGGGTTAATGCAAAAACTTCAAGAAGAGAAATTTGGAGAGCGGGAAAGGAGAGTGGCAGAAGAGAGGAAACAGCAAGAAGCGTGCACCAGAAAGCTTTTTCAGAAGAAGGAAACAGAAAAGCAGCCCTAGCAACACCCCCGCCACCCTCCGCCGCCCCCGCCGCCTCATTGCCTGTTGTCCAGGGCGAGGCTCTGACACAGAAAGCTCAGGGTGGCCGGGCCACTTCCCCTCAGTGGTTTTGGGCACAGAAGGGAGGTGAAACTTACTCAGCCCACTGGTGACCAGGGTAGCCAGAGGCCCAGAGCAGCTCTCCTCTCGCTTGGAGCCTGACGAGTCCTCATCCATGGTGTTTGCCTTGATGCTCATGCCAATGGCCAGGTCCCACCAAGCAGCTCCTGGAGGCTGAGGAGCCTGGGGAAGACTCTACGCCCTGCTCCAGGCCAGGTACAGTAGGTTGCTCTTTTCGCCCAGGCGGGCAGGCACTGCTTCTTGAGGAAGCCTTCATGTAGTTGGGCAGAAGGGCCAGAAAGGGGTCCCAAGGACCCCTTCTGAGAAGTGGCATCTTCATTCTCAGGGGTCCTGCTCTTACCATTGTCCTTTGCTGTGGCCGCAAGATCCTTGACAAGGGGCCTTCCCATGCCCTGGGTCCCATCCAGGCGGGAGTGTGCAGGGGCCGTCTCTCTGCAGGCAGTCCTGCATAGGAATTTTAAAATTACTTTTTCTAGACCTATGAAAAATTTTTTATTTTAATAGAGATTGCATTGATTTTATAGGTGAATTTTGGTAATATGGCCATTTAAACAATATTAGTTTGGTAATCCATGAACAAAGTCTTTCTATTTTCTAATATATTTACTTTCAGTTCTTGTAACTTCTCACTATAGGGGTCTTCACCTTGGTTTAAGGTGACTCCTAGGTATCTTTTCAAGCTATTGTGAATGAAACTGTTTTCCTTATTTCTTTCTCAGGTAGTTCATTATTGGTGACTAGGGAAGCTACTGAGTTTTGTGTGCTGATTTTGTACCCTACTATCTTGTTGAATTTGTTTTTAAGATTTAAGAGTCTTCTGGTGGAGTTTTAGGGTCTTCTACGTAACAGATATGTCTATAAGTAGGGATATTTGATTTCTTTCTTTCCTACTTCCACACCTTTTATTTCCTTCTCCTGCATAATGGCCCTCACTAACAGTTCAAGTACAATACTGAACAAAAGTGGTGAGGTTGACATCTTTGTTTCAGTCCTGATTTGAGAGGAAAGGCCTTCAATTTTTATCCCACTGAGTGTAATGTTGCCAGTGCTTTGTTGTATATAGCTCTTATCAATTTGAGGGGAGATACTTCTATACCTATTTTTGTTAGGCCTTTTTTTTACGATGAAAGGGTGCTGGAAAAAAAAAAGATAATGGAAAAAATGAAAAATGTTACTATTTAATATTTATAAATTTCTATCAAACTAGACATATTAAAATTAAAAGGCAGTAACCCAGGGGGGAAAATGCTTGCTACAAAAAACATTTTTAATATACACTAATAGAATCTCAAAGATCAAAAGATAAGAATGCATAATTAATAAGTAAAAAATATAAGTAATCTCTACACTTGATATTAGCCAAAAGGCCAAAAAGTGATTATAGATAATATCTAAAATAAAAAGTTGAAACAATAAAAAAAAAAAAAAGAAAGGGTGCTGGATTTTGTGGAAGGCTTTTTCTGCATTGACTGAGATGACCATGTAATGTTTTAATTCTTGATTTTATTTATGTAGAGTATTACTTTTATTGATTTACATATATCAAAGCATCCTTGTATCTCTGTGAAGAAGCCAACTAGATCATAGTGTACAATTTTTAAGTACTTTGTTGAATTTGATTTTCAGAACTCCTCTCTCTTGTTGAGTATCTTTGCATCTATATTCACCAAGGAGTTTGGTCTGTAATTTTCTTTTTTGATATTGTTGAATTTTTATTTGGTTTTGCTATCAGGATAAGGCTAACTTCATAAGTTCAATTTTGAAGCATCCCTTCTTTATTTCATAGATAAGTTTAAGGAGCACTGGTGTTCTTCTTTAAAAGTTTGCTAAAATCCACTAGGTCCTGAGATTTTCTTAGTTAGGAGAGTATTTATTATTATTTCAATATCATTGTTATTAGTGTTTAGATTTTTTTTATCTTCTTGATTCAATTTTGGTAGGTCATCTGTGCTTAGGAATCTAGATTCTCCAGCTTATTAGAGTGCAAGTTTTCAAAATTGTTTCTAATGATTATCTAGATTTCAGTACTCTGTGTTATAACTTCACCATTTTTGTCTCTAATTTCTTTAATTTGGGTCTTTTTTGTTTGTAAGTTTGTCCAGGTTTTTATCAATCTTGTTTATCATTTGAAAGATTGAACTCTTTGATTCATTGATTCTTTGTATTGTTCTTTTATCCTCTATTTCATTAACTTCTGCTTGATCTTTATTAATCTTTTCTTCTGCTGGGTTTGGTTTTGGTTGGTACTTATTTTTCTAGTACCTTAAGATGCGTCATTAGGTTATTTAGTTGGGTTTACTCTATTTTTTGAATGTAGGCATGCTTTGCCATAAACTCCCCTCTTAGAACTTCTTTCATTGTGTCCAATAGATTCTGATAATGTATGCTGTGTGTTCACTATTGTTCAATTCTAGAAATTTAAAAATTTAAAAATTTCTCCCCTTATTTCTTCAGTCACCCACTAATCATTCAAAATCATATTTGTGTGGTTTCTGTGATTTCTTTTGCTTCCTAGTTTCATTCCCTTATTGTCTGGTAGGACACATGAGAATATTTTAATGGTTTGTACATTTTTTTTTTTTGTTTGTCTTTTTGAGACAGGGTCTCGCTACGCAGTTCAGGCTAGTCTTGAGCTCACTTTGTAGCCCAGGCTGACCTTGAACTCACAAAGATCCTTCTGCCTCAGCCTCCAGAGGGCTGGGATTACAGGCGTGTGCCACCATGCCCAGTTGTTTTGCACTTATTAAAACCTGCTTGGCACCCCAGATCTTAGCTTTTCTGTGTCATAGTCATCATATTCCTGGGCCTAAGCTAGGTCATAGGGAGGGTGCCTACTGTCTCCCTGGAAAGAAGTGACTGTTGCTTCTTGCAGATATAAAAAAGTGAGCATTTTCTGTTTTCTCATGTTACTATCAAGGCAAAAGAAGTTACTAAAGATGGCTCCCCATCTTGCTTCTGTCCAAACCTATCTCCTGTGCAACCTACCGAGGCAAAAGAGAGAGGCTTTCAAGGCGGCTTCCCATCCCAGCACTGCCTAAGACTCCAGGAAAAGGCTGAGTGTTATCACTCCTGTTCCTGATCTCTTGATTGAATTCAGGTCACCTTTCTGCTCAGGCTGTGTATCCATCCATTTGCAAAGTCAACATTTGTAAGAATACACTGAAGTTTTCTCTTACCGTTCTGCTGGAGAGGAGATATCGTCCACCACTGAGTGGCCATCCATTCAGTGTTGGTCTGCCCTACTTCGTTTATTTTTCTAAACAGTATTTTTTGGTTTCACCTGGCTGTTTGCTCATTGAAGCTGTGACCCTGTGATTGTCTCTAGGCCCCCTATCTTTTCACAAAGCCAGGCACTTGTGGGTTTGGAAGAATATCCTGACATGGTCTGTGAGTGCTGACTCCCTCCAGTCCTCTTCGATCCAAAGCCTTTCCAAGAAACTTGAAGTGTCGTTTGGATACTTCTAAACATTCGGAATTCGAAAGAAAGAAGTAACTTAATTTTTTATCTTCTAAAAATATTTCTTGGGTTATAAAAGCAATTCTTGTGTTAAAATATATGGGTATGAAGAAAGTAGAAGAAAGCAGAAAATAAGAAAGGAGTCAGCCCCCCCCATTTCCTGTGTATAAATATTATTATATATTGGAGATACAGATTTTTCTTTTTCTCCTATCTAACCATTTTTAAGTGTGTAATTTAGCAGTGCTAAGTATATTTGCATTGCTGGGAAATGTATTTACAGAAATACTCTTATACTACAAATCTGAAACTTTACAGTCATTAAACAACTCCTTTTTTCCTCCTGACCTTAGTCTCTAGTGATTACAATTCTAATTTTTGTTTTCATGATTTTTTGACTACTTTAGTTATCTCAAATGTGTAATCACACAGTATGTGTATGTATCTGTCTGACATTTAATTTATGAAAATGGTGTCAATATTTATCTATGTTCTAGCATGTACTGGAGATTCATGTTTTAAAGGTGGGCATTGTGTTCTTAGCTCTCTCTCTCTCTCTCTCCTTCTCTCTCTCTCTCTCTGTGTTAGTCAACTTTCTATTACTGTGAAAAATACCTGACAGAAATAACTTAAAGAAGGAAAGATTTTTTTCTGGTTCATAGTTTCAGTTCCTGGCTGCTTGGTTCCATTGCTTCTGAGCCCATGGTGAAGCAGAGGCAGAGGATCATAGTGCAAGGGTGTGGTGGAGCAGATCTGCACACTTCCTGGCAGCTGAGAAGGAGAGAAAGAAAGGGACATATCTCAGTATGATATCAATATCTGTATCTATCTATTTATAGAGAGATAGCCTAGTATCCTTCTTCCTCCAAAAAGGCTTCACCTCCTAAAGTTTCTTCCACCTCCTGCCAATGCTGCCCACTGGGGCCTACACCTTCAACAGCGAGCCTTTGGAGAAACATCCCAGATGTAAGCCATAGCAATATCCCCACTAAACAATCCATTCATTCATTAATGGCAATTAAGGTGTTTTCTCTCTGGCGCATTGTAAGTAGTGGTTTGTCATTATGTATGCAACTATCTCTTCAAAGACTTACTTTCACTTCTCTGGGAAATATAATTGGTTCTACATATAAGTAGGTTCTACATCCATAAAGTGTAGATCGAAATAACTTGGAAAAAAAATCTAAAAAGTTAAAAGAAGCAAAACTTAAGTTTGGGTGCCAAATGCTATGCTGAATCTATGTAAAAGAAGTGCTGAGTAGGTGTGGCTTGCTGAGATCTGCAGGGTTTGAGCAGTGTTTGCTTTGTGTCTGGTTTGTATACTATGTATTTAGGACTGTGAGGGTTGTGTCTGTAGTAAACATATAGAGATTCTTTTCGCTTTTTCTGCAACAATGGAGTATAATGATTGCATAGTGCTCACACTGTATTACACATCTAGACAGGATGTGGAGCACACAAAATGCACATTTATATGCAAATATTATAACGTTTTATAAAAGGGACTTGAGCACCTGTGGATTTTGTTGTCTGTAGGCATATTTCCATTTCCCATGGATACTGAGGAATTTCCCAAATTTTAAAGGAAATTTTCTATGCAATTTTCTACAGCTGCTACCCCCTTTTACAATTAACAGTAGACAAAGATCTTGATTTCTCTCTATCTTCCCCAACACTTATTTTTTTTCTTTTTTAAAAAAGATAATGGCTATCTTGATAGTATAATATGTAACATTGT